CTTATAATTATCAAACACAACTAGGACCCATGTGGATTTTGGAATTAATCCTTGGGCTATAAATATAAGTGAAATTAACATTGTTGCCGCAGAACTTCGTGACGGGTCATTTAATTAATTCTGTGGTTCTCCATATAGAACTATTTATAACTCAGTTTTGTATTAATTTTCAAATCATTCCATTCAAACTGTGGTCATTTTGGTGTTACGTTTACATTGAGACTGTTTTTATCTCTCTGACTATAATATTTCCGATAGCGTAAGATACTGGTTATTGCCTCGCTCAAAGGCTTGTTCAGCGAGAAAACGCATCCAGCGTTTTTAGCGCCGCGGGAAGTAAGATTTTATGATAATTTCTGTTATAATATTTAAAGAAATATTGTATGTTTTTATGTTATCTATACGTTTACAAAATAACAAAATAAAAAATCCATCTAATAATAAAAAATCAATCCAAAATACTTAAATCGTATTAGTTTTTATTAGCTAGACATGTTGACATAAACTTTGGTAAACAGTAAAAAGGTAATTTTTTGTCACCACAAGATGATTGCGAAGTGTTTAAAAAAAAAGTAATACTATTTTAAATTTAATATTATTAAATGATAAAAAACTATTGTGTTGATATCACCTGTGAGTATAATAAAAACATTATATATTTTTGTATCAATACCATACAATACTATAATACGTACACAATACAAAATCATTTTGACAGCCAGTCTATTTATATATCAAATTTAATATAATGAACTTCCGCAAAGTAACGCCTGATTCTATTAATTAGCCAGTCTATTGTATATCATAGTATTCTATGATTAATACGAAACATATAGAGATGTCTGTTTTACTACAAAACTTTTTCTGTTTGGGAATTCAACCCATTATTTCAAGTTTGAAATCCAAGTTGAATGTCTGGTACCTGGACGACGGTACACTGGGAGGTAGAACAGATGAAGTCCTCAGTGAACTTACTCATTTTAAAAATATTGGTCTTTTACCAAATAGCAATAAATGTGAAATATTTTTTTCCAATAATTTATCTACTTCTCATAGAGACACTTTAATTCAAAATTTCCCACATTGCTCTTACTATTTTAAAATAATGTCTTCTTGTACCTAGATTTACATACTTACTCCGCTTGAATCCAGTCTGAAAATGTTCGGATATTTTAAAAGGTATTTATAATTATCTTAAAATTGCTATAGAAAAAACTCTAAATTTAACTTTAAATACAACAGCCTGAACTCAAGCTACTTTACCTATAAAATGTGGTGGCATTGGTGTAAGAAATCTTTCTAGCGTTGCATTGCCTGCTTTCCTTGCTTCCGTGCATAGTGTCAGTGACTTATGTAACATAATTCTAAATAATAAAGTAGACCTGTGCTTTGCTACAGAGGCAGTGCAGACACGGCAAACGCTCTGTCCCGGTGAAAATGTACCACTGGAAGTTAACCAGCAAAAACAGTGGAATATTCCGTTGGTACAGGTTGTGCTGAAATATTTTTTTCATAATTTCCATAGTGACCAAGATAAGGCACGCCTTCTAGCTGTTTCTACTAAGGAATCTAGTCACTGGTTACACGCTTTACCATCAAGTAATCCGACACATTACTTGATGGGGAAAGCTTGCGCATCGCCGTAGGAATCCGACTAGGAGCGGCGATTTGTCAACCCCATCAGTGCCCCTGTGGTAGCAGCGTTGACAAGTTTGGGCTCCATGGACTTTCATGTAAGAAAAGTGTTGGTAGGTTTTCACGGTACGGTTTTTTGAACGATTTCACCCGAAGGGCTCTTGTCTCTATAAATATTCCCGAGAGCCTTGTGAAATATTTAGAGAGGATGGCAGGACACCCGACGGTATGACATTGGTCCCCTGGGAGAGAGGTAAAGCTTTAATATGGGATACACACTCTAGCAGCCTCTCATCTCAAGGGTAACTCGTTTAGAGCCGGGGTGACATCAGAGGCAGCTGAACTGAGTAATTGGCGCAAATATGAGTCTCTGAGAGATAACTACAGGTTTGTGCAATTAGCTGTAGAGACTATCGGTCCGTGGGGTCGACGTGCGGTGAGGTTCCTAAAGGAACTCCATTCGCAGCTGGTCGTTGCTGCTGGTCATAAGAAGGCTGATTTTTTTCTCACTCAAAGGCTAAGTATAGCCATTCAGCGGGGAAACGCAGCCAGCGTTCTTGGCACGATACCACGGGGAGTAAGACTGTATGATAATTAAGTTATTAGTTTTAGTTTTTTAGTTTTTTTTGTTTTTAGTATTGATTTTAATAAAATATTGTATAATCAAACTACATAGCATCGTAAAAAGAATTCATTACCCCATTCGTCACGTTGACATTTCTCATAGTCGAAATGTTAAAAATTTTGTGGCTGCCGATGGACACCAGTAGAATAATGAATAATCTAAATATCGTTACGAGTTACGAGTAAGTTAATATTAAATATGACTAAATAATAGCAGCCTTTATGAATCCCTAGAATATCCAATTACTACACAATTTATTTGTGATTTTCGTAATTACATATTATATCTAAAGGTCTACGAGAATCCGTACAAAAATTTATACTGAACAGATTTAATTACCGTTCTTTGAGAGAAGCCTGATATGGGTTTATAATAATAATTGTTTAATATTATTAAATTTTAAAAAGTTGGTAACTCGGGATTTAAAAGCTTGCTTTAAATATTAAATCTTATTGAGCAAAATAATTTGTACAAAGAGTACTTACTTATTGGCAGTGATGACATATGGATCTCAGACGTGGTTCTTCATTGAGGGCTGTATGAGGAATATAATATATTAAGGAACACTAATAAAAACGATCCTTCTCAATTATGGTCACCATTCTTCTTTTTTTATAGGATAAGGATGACAAGCGAGCACACCTGATGGTAAGTGATTGCTGTGGCCCATAGACATCTACATCTATCCTCGTATTCGAATCAAAATGCAGATGCGTTTTCAGCCGTGAGGACTAAAATGATTTTCCAGTAAAACGGGTCTCCGGTTCCCTACACTTACCATACGAAACACAGTAGCATTAAGTCGCTATTTTACGCTGGTATTCTGTGAGAGCGTGGTCCTTTCCCGGTCGAGCCGACCCAAGGCTTTACCACGTAAAAAAGCTAAACATGTTAATAATATCGAACGGATTCAAAAAAATCGTTTCCTATTTAATATACATTGTATATCATACTTAAAATTGTATTGGCTCTCCATATCGAGACGATTGCAGATATTACGGTCTGTTAATGCTTGAAGGAAGGCGTAATCTGCTGGATATGGGACTTTTATACGATGTATTACACGGAGGAATTGACTGCCCTGATTTATTGGCATACATTAAATTTAACGTTCCTATGAGTCGCACACGACACACGAGGGACTCGATATTTTAGATTCTCATTCACCCGACAAATTACGGGAAAAATTATCTTTTAACGTGTTTGGTAGCGACATATTGTAATACAACAAGTTAACTCAATTTATCCTTTTAATAGTTTCAAAAACAAAATCCACAAGGTTTCACTTTCTCCATATGATACATTCATTCAGTTCAGTAAATAGTAAATAAAAAATACCTAAATTATTATTTGTCGCCGTATTTAGCTGTCGTGTGCTATTTCACGCTGATTAGCGTGAAAATCGGTTTAATGTATACCATTTCGCCTACCAGTATGCCTTAGTGTCATTAGAGAAAAACTTCAGGAAATTTTAATATACTAGAAATTTAAGTCAATCCAATGTATGTTACACTGGATAAACAATTATTATTTTGAATTCCTTTAAATCAATTGAGAGAAATGAAAATCTTTTTAATATTTATTTTTTAATACAAACTTCTTACAATAATTTCATCCCTTAATATTATAAATAATTAAGAATTATTTAAAATTAAGCTTCTAAAACAATAAAAAATAAACAAAATGGACTAAAATAATAATTATTAAATATTTTGGTTTAATTTAACCTTAGAAAACTTATAAATTTAATAAATATATATGTATTTTAAATACTATTATATCCTATATTAATGTGATATGGTTTGCGAGATTCACTATAATATCTTATCTCAAATCACTATACTAAATTATGACATATTTTCATGTTTATGAAAAATTTTACTTACCCAAGATATTATAATCTACTCCAGTATATTTTAAGTGCAAACTTGTATAACCTATTTAAACAACAAGTATAAATTTGTTATCGTCAGAAATACGATTAAATGTCGAAATTGTTAAATAAGTATATTCATAACATAAAAATTATGAATGGAAGTAATTATACATCTCAGATTAATCCAATAGCTGTAACATTTTAGTATATTTTAAAAATGTAATGTCTTTAAAGAATATAATTTGTTTAACAAATATATAATACGACTTCAACTATGTATGCATTAAAATCAGCAAAGTCGATTAACTAACTTCGTAGATATAAGTAATAAAAATCAATAAAATGCAAACAGTTATACTTCCACAATAGGTGTTCTATGCCATTCCCTTCGCACTTTAATTATTTCAGGACTGAACAAATTTTAAGTTTTCGATGCGAATATTTAAAATAAACTTTGGCATCAACAATGCCAATTTTAAATCTCACAGATCTATTTGGATAACTACATTACACATCATTCAAGAAAACGATTTTAAACGTTTACGTGAAAAAGTCTGTAAGATGTTTGTAACAGACCGACAGATACTAAAGTGATTACAAAACTGTTTGTTTTGCTGATTTTGATACAAAATGCTACAAAGTAGAATCCAATTTGTAACTATAATTTTTGGAGCCAGTTAAAAAGGAAAGAATAATATTAAATTAATCCAAGAACATTTATGTGCTTCTACTTTCAATGACGTACTTGTGATACACTATATTATGTATAATAATAATGAATATTGAAGTGCAGTGAATTAATTCAGTCGTTAATACGGTTTTTTATTATTGGCAGTTAAAAATTTTATAGGTTGTGGAATCACTTTATCCTAATATACGAAATGGATTAAATTTATTAATTCTGTTTAGTGGCTGTTTCGGTCTTCTAGATCTATTGGGCCGTTGCAAAGGTTCATTTGCAGCAGATAGTAATGGTGATTGGAAATCATCAATAGTTTCCAAATTACTTGAATTGTTTACTGTATCTTCGATACCGTCTGTGATATTAAAAACATCATTTACAAACGGAACGTAAGTTGCATGTGATTCTGGGTTCATTTTATTAAGAATTTCAGACTTGTTTGAAATATAAACAAAAGGTGTAGATTCTGTATTCATATCTGCACTTTCGCTTATATTTGTAGAACCTGCTTCAGTCACGGTATTAATAGGGACAGATATTGAATAATTTAAAGTAGTAAGTCGTAAATCGACCATATTAATAGAATTAATATCGCTCTGTGTAGTTGCAGTAGGGATATCAACATGTGTGTTATCTGTAATGTTGTTCTTTTCAATTTTGGTGAAGGAATCAGCATTTACCGGATTATTTAAAACTGGCAAGGTAACAAAGTCATCTTTGAAAATAGGTGTTTTTGTTATAATATCAAAATCAGACTGAGTGCTAAAATTACTACTCTCGTTTCGTATACTACTATTAATTATTTTATTTTGTGAGACCAGTTCGTCAATATTATCAGATTTGCTAAATGTATCATTTTGGAAAGTCAACTGAGAAATGTTTTTTGAATTCACGTCGATATTCGATGATTCCGACTCTGTTACATTTGTTAATAGTTTCATATCAATCTCATCTTTTTTACTTGCTATTGTTGAATAAGAATCGTTGTGTTTATTCATATCCCGTAAAGTAACTGTTAAATCAATGACAGGGTCATTCTGAATATCATCAAAATTATTTGCAGTTGTAGTGTTTAATGATGAGGTTTCATTCAAATTCGTATAAGAGTAAACAGAAGAGCGATTACTCTCATTTAAAACAACATTAATATTTTTATTTATCTTGACTTTATTTTCTTTTTTTGTCATTCCTATTGAGATACTTGAAATATTGGAATCAAAGCCTTTGTGAATATATTTTTTTGGTAACGCATTTTTAGTATTTTCTTTTTTTAATTCATTTCCTAGTATTTCTGCTTTTTCTGTACTTAACCCACTTAAATTGGGGGTGCTTACGAAATTTGGCTGTTCAGTTGTTATTAAAAGCTTATTTTTTACGCCTAAAATGCTATTCTGTTCATTTGAATGTTTTAACGAATTATGTGTGTTTAAATGTTGGGCGTGTTTTTCTTCTAAAGACAGTACATTCATATCATCACCAAGCCTTGCTTTTGCAATAACTAGCGGTGGAACAAAGTGATCGGTGGGTTGCGTGAATATAGTTTCAAAATTACCAAGTCTTGCAAGTTCGTCGTGAAGCTTCTTATGCTGCATATTTGCTTCATCTTCCATCTTTTCTATTCTATAATTCGTCAAAAAATTATCATTATTAACTAATTTTGAGATATCGTTACTTTGAAGGTTGTTATTTTCCATTACATCCAGATTAATATTTTTACGCATTAAAATATTGTTATTTTCACTCAAAATTGGGTTCATTGTAGGTGGTAATTTAATAAGTAAAGATTTTTGTGTAATTCGATCTAAGTGAGAAGGTTTTGATATCATGTTAGCCAATTGATTATCATCGTCTTCATTATTAATAGTTTGTTTTTCTTCTGGCATGATGCTTGTCGTTTCGTGATTATTACTTATAGTGGTTGTGTCAGTAGTGATATTATTATTATTATTGATTGACAAATTATTTGATGGACTTGACAATTCAACTTCTTCAGTGCAAGAAAGATCTTTAAGGAGATCTTCACGTTTCTGTAACAAGAAATATCAATAGTTATTTTAGAAGTCAATTAAAATAAGAAATAGCAATATCAGAAGGTATATAAATCTTATATACAAATCATACCACATTTCCATTGCACTGAATGCGCTTAACGCCCGCTAGACCGCAATCTGCCGTAAGCTGAACAGCAGCACTTTCGGGCAAGTACAAAATAGTCAATGCTGGCAGGGCTCGAACCATACATCCCTCGTTGCCAAGTGCCCATTGTGGTACTGTTAATCAAAACACACGTGTATGGTTAAAATCCTAATATATAAAACCAGTGACTTGAAGCAAAATTTGTTACGAATTAAAAATTAAACATCAAAAAACGTAATATGGAAGAAAATATTAAGTTATGTAATGCTAAAACCTGGTAATTCGCATATGAAGGAAGCAACGGTTGGTCCACCGCAGTTGCGGGCCTCCCATCTATAATCAGCGCCAGGATCTGCAGCAGCACATAATGGCGCAATACGAGGATCAGGCGCAGAGCTCCAATAGCCGTCACCACTTAATCCACGATAGTCACTGTTTAAAAGAAATATGACGTTTTTACTGTTTTGAAATGAATAATGCTTAGTTTTAATATTCAAACATATATAATATCTTGAATAAAACTACTTTTACGGATTTTCTCGCGTTTAGTTCTACTTATTTTTAATTTCCCGACGTTTCAGGTACTTTTCAGCACCCATGATCACTGGGGACTGATGTTATTGAAGTCCCGATGTCTGATCTAAACGGAATGAACTTACTGTATCTTGAAGTCTTACAGTGGTATGCGTGGGTTTAATTTTAATTTTATTAATTACAGAACCCCAAAGATATGGTAGTACCCAGCCTCCCTTTTTATTGAAATTAGGATGTCTTTTAATTTCAATAACCTCACGTATCATCCTTGGCAGGAATCGATGTTCTTTCGCGAGAATTTGTGGTCTATCAACTCTAATGTAATAGCGGGGGCCATCTAGGATATGATTACAAACTGCAGACTTCCTGGAACTTTGGTATTTCACGTCAGCCATGTGTAACCATGGGTGCTGGAGTATGGCAGACCGAGTTGGTACATGTTAATTGCGTACGGATATGTAGATAAGAACATGAGCGTATTCACAATAAGTACTTACGTCCAGGTAAATTCGCCCTCTGGATTGCTTCTTATTAGTCCAACCCACACCGCACTATAAATATCTAGTTCCTTGAGATATGCTCGTACAGCATCGTATTGAGCCGTGGTATCAACTGCAAAAATGAACTAATTTAATGTAATTTACCATAGAATTTTATGAAGTCCTTATGCTGAACTTTTACATACTTCTTAAACACAGAGTGTAAACACAGAGTGATAATCGAGCTAACAGTTCACCTGGTAGTGAATGGCAGGAAAAACTGACACATGAGGGATGCCCCTCAGAACTCTCTCTGATACTGAAGTTAAAGTTACAGCCTATATAGGTCCCACTGTTGGGCACAGGCCTCCTTTCATTTCTGAGAGGGTTTTAGGGCAAGGAAATGCCGGCCCCGCTGCCCCAATGCGTGTTGGCGAACTTCACATGTCTTCGAAATACTTTTTTCTTATTTCTTAGACATGCAGGTTTCCTTAAGATATTTTCCTTCACCGCCGAGCACGTGGTAAATCAGCACTTCAAATTGCAATTAACAATTTCATTGTACGTACTGTGAAATTTACAGCAAGCGCTAACTATCTGTGCTACCATGGCTACCTTTGATACTGACCCCCCCTATTTTTCAAAATAGTAACCAAAACTGGATGCCCTTCTACATCAGTAAAATAGGCACAATAATCTTTAACAAAAAGGGGTCCTACCATCTGTGCCATATTTCTTAGACATTACTCACATAAAAGTATAAATACTATAAGTATCTCAACTCGTGTCAGAATTTCCTTCCGTATTTTGTTCTTTTACAGGTGAATACTCGTAGTATTATAAATTAATTATCTTATAATACTTCACACTACATTTATCACTAATTATATTTTATAATGGTATATTTAATTACGGCATAGATTATAAGAGTAAAAACCACAAATATATCATCATCATCATCATCATTACAGCCTTTCATAAGTCCACTGCTGAACATAGGCCTCCCCCAAGGAATGCCACGAAGCACGGTCCTGAGCCACCTGCATCCATCAACTTCCTGCATGTCTTAACAGGTCGTCACTTCTTCTCGTGGGGAGTCGCCCTACACTTCGCCTACTGGTACGAGGCCGCCACTCTAGAACCTTTCTTCCCCATCGGTTGTCGGTTCTTCAAGCTATAAGGCCGGCCCACTGCCACTTCAGCTTACTAATCCGTTGGGTTATGTCGGTTACTCTGGTTCTACTGCGGATATCCTCATTTCTAATTAAATTTATCACGCAGAGAAACCCCGAGCATAGCCCGCTGAGCGACCTTGAGCTTCCACATACGGCCAGCAGTGAAGGACCACGTCTCAGATCCGTAAGTCATCACTGGCAACACGCACTGGTTGTACAATTTCGTTTTAAGGTTTAGAGGTATGTCTGACGAGAAGATGTGTCGTAGTTTCCCGTACGCCGAGTTGAATCCGTCGATTGACCTCTCGGTCGAAGTTGGACTTACCTAGTCGGACTATTTGTCCCAGGTAAACATACTCATCAACAACTTCGAGCTTAGTGCTCCCAACAACTACAGGCATAGGTGTGACATGGACATTAAACATGATCTTTGTTTTGTCCATGTTCATCTTAAGACCTATCCGTTGGGAGACACTATTGAAGTCATTGAGCATGGTGCTTAGGTCCTCCAGCGATTCTGCCATAAGGACTATATCGTCGGCAAATCTAAGGTGAGTGATGTACTCGCCATTGATGTTAATACCGTATCCTTTCCAGTCCAGAAGCTTGAAAACGTCTTCCAATGCAGCAGTGAAGAGTTTAGGGTATATAACATCACCCTGTCTTACACCTTTCTGCAATTGGATAGGTTTCGTACTCTGGTTCTGTACTCGGATAGCCATCGTAGCCCTACTGTACAAACACTTCAGCACTTCTATATACCGACAGTCAACTTGGCACCGCTGAAGGGACTGCAGCACCGCCCAAATTTCGACGGAATCAAAGGCAAATATATAAATGATATATATATATATATATAATAAAAAACAAAAAAATATAAACAAAAAAATCGTATTAGTTAACATTCATATAAAAATATAATTAAGTATTAAAATGGTTCCACAGTAGTTGTATTTGTAATACAGTATTTTACAAAAATAGTGTATTGCCAGTGGTGAAACTAAATCGAGATGTTGGCTGCATTAGGCAGCTTAAAGTCGTTCAGCATACTATAGACAGGACTACACTCAGCTTTTCTCCTAGACGATAAACTAAAAAGAAGTTCTTTCTTCTCTTTAGCAAATCTTTAAACAAGTAATTTTGCTTGTTATTTTTTCATCCATCTCATTCCATTACCCTAAAATATCCAGAGTAGTAGCCAGCACGCTGCTGTCTGCAAATAATCCTTATTATTAGAGAGGTCTATGTCCAGCGATGATTGCTTTGATAATGATATATATAACTTTGTTCAGGTAAGAGACAACTAACTGGACCTTTTAAATAATTGAGAAATGACATTAAATTTGCCAAAGCTCTTAAGCCACGTATTCTTTCCATGATAAAACACGAAAGCAAATCAATATCTGGCACACCTTTGTGTTTAGTAGTCCCCTAACTCTCCAACACACTGACGTCAATGCCACACCTTGCCCTTTCATTTATGAGCCAATTCATTACATTAGCTAAATGAAACCAATTTATCATAATTGCTTTATAAATTGATCGCTATAAATATTTAATTACATATTACTGTCAAAAATATCGTGTCAGTTCTTATATCATTTTGAAATAACTTCAAGATTCCACGTGAAAAAACACCGCCAAATTTCGCGCGATAAACAAATATAAGTAACTAGCTGACCCGGCGAACTTCGTACCGCAATGTTACCATAGTATAAATATTGACAAATATTTATACGATACGATACGATATAATATTTATACGATATTAACGTCACTCAATATTTTGCCTTCCCGGAACCCCTCCACTAACACTTAAACTTTATGGTATCGTATTAAAGTTCAAATTGACTTTTAAGTATTATTACGAATATTTTTTATGGGAATATAGAAAAGTGTTGTTTTTAGACTTTTCAGGCAATTTTCTAAATTTTTCTTTCCGTAAGAACCATCTTCGTACTTCAAGGAATATTGTAAAAAAAGAATTTGCAAAATCAGTTCAGCTGCTCTCGAGATTTGCGCTTAGCAACACATTTAGCGATGCATTTCTCTTACTTTCTTTTAATATAGACTAAGATTTTTTACTTATTCATAGCTAATTCATCTATTACAAACCGTGAATTTGGATATATATGGAGTGCCGAACTGGTAAGACATGAAGGAAGTAGATGGATGCAGTTGGATCAGAACCGTGCTTTGTGGCATCCCTTGGGGGAGGCCTATGTTCAGCAGTGGTCTAGTCAAGGAATGTAATGATGATGATAAATTATGATGAAACCGTGAGTTTTTATGGCCTTTACCATAATCGCCTTTCAAGACAACCACAGGACGGAATATACACCATCAATATGATCATAGATAAATTCTCTTACGCCGCTACTTAACACAAATATGATTGTTAGATACGATTTTATGCGACAAAACGTTGGAATCTTGATTTTTAGGCGCTGGTAGAACCATACCTACGCGCTTTGCGCTTAAGGCATGCAATAAAATTAGTCCTTGAAGGTTTCTCTTTTCAATACATTAATATTGAAAACATTAAGAAATTATGTATATCAGTACAATTTTTATTTTCATTAAGAAGAAAATCACAACGTATTAAACACACCAATAACTTTTATTCTATCAAACTTCTGACACTAACGGATTGGCGCAAAACTTCGTTAAGTAGGCGAGTAAGCAATATATAAAGTTAGTTATAGAACATGCCAAAGCTGGCTTTCGAAGTTTGCAAAAAATATGTTTCGCTATGATTATGACCGAGTTTGTGTAACAATTTTTCTCATCTGACAATATTTGAAATTCGTTTATTTAATACAAGTATAACCGATTTCCTATGAATCCTATGAACTTATGATTGACAAAAATCTCATCACAAGTTGATTTCTTATCGGCCAATCATACTTTCCTTTAGCTAATGAATGATAAATTTCTGTAACACAAACACAGTATTATAAATTTCCTATACCTAATACATATTATGTTATCAGAATTTATATACATTGCATTTGCTGGTCTCATGGCTTGAAACTTATTTGTTCTTAGTTTCAAGGTCTACTGAATCTAATATTGAAATAAATCATTTTTTTTTATAAACTATAATTGATAAATGAACTTATAATCCACCTGATGGTCAGTGGATTGTACTGCCTAATGACATCTGCAGCAAATTAAAAATAAAGAATTAACTAAATTTAAAAACCTATGAATGAGAATAACCTCATAAATGAAAAAGGCCACCAAAGTTAATTCGCATTTATTAATATATTCGCAAGGAGTAAATATATAAGTATGTCATAAGCTTGAGCTTCTTAATTTAGATAAATGAAAACTCATTCGGTTCAAAGGTTCATAAAAAATAAAGGTGTATTATCTAGTGAGCGAAAGATCAAGAACGACGTCAACAATAATGAAAGGGCTCTCGTCGACAACGATCTGACAAATCGACAACATGGATTCCATCGAAAATTCCACAAGTATATTGACTCAAGTATTCTTCTCTATCATATAATACCTGTTATCATTAGCTAAGGTTAAGTTACCCTATAATAAACATTTATAAATATATTTTAAGATTATCTGACTTCTTTTTTGAACTCAAAATTACCATAACGCAGCTAAAGTTGTAGACTAGACGAAACTTGTGTTTCAATTCAAATTCCTTTATTTATCATAAATAGGGTATTATGTCGTTAAAGTAAAAATAAGTTGTTTAATGACCTATTTTAGCCATGAGATACAGCATGCAAACTTTTCCTGTATTTTGTTGGATACAAAAATAATCTGAAGCTACGTTTTTTTCTGATCAATTTGCAAGTTATGTCGAAATTAAAATAAAAAACCGACTAAGTGCGTGATAGGCCACGCACAATGTAGAGGAAGCGTTCCGTTGTTGCTAGTCACTGTACGTAAACATAGAAGAGGCCTTCTTGATACTTTGAGCATTGAAGTGAGGTAATTTGCCGAAACAGGGCAATGGTAACTGAAGGACTTATTTTCAAAGCAGACTTATAAGGAGTGGTATGCAAACAAGATTAAAAAAGCTTTTTCATTTTCAAAATAATACAATCTACATAAAATTATACACATGCCAAATCCGTACAAAATTGTTTTGTTTTCTACGACTGAATCGTAACTCTAATAAAAAAATACCAATTTAAAGCTAAATATTTCCCAATCGAGCTTCTGAATCGATAAAGTGTCGTTTCATATCTCAATATTTTTGAAAAACAAAAAATAGACGTGTAAAAAAGATCACCTGTAAGAGAGGTTTTATTTTACATAGTACGCGTGATGAATATCTATAACTATGCCAAATCACAGCTTTGTTGCACTCAGGGTCTCTAAGTGCGGGCGGACGGACGGACGGACGGACGGACATAGCGAAATTATAAATTTCCTTGGTATAGTAACTACGGAACCCTAAAATAATAATAAAAAGAACACATTTTACTGAAATAGGTTACCAAGTGTCCTTGGGGATCTAATTCTAATTATCTTCGTAAATATGCATATATATAAATACATGTTCTTTACCCAAATCAACATGTAAACGGGATTTCTATACATGCGGCGACCGGCATATTCGCGTATAAAGTATTCTTTGTTCACGAAGTTTATTACGCGCGGGTTTGGGATGCGCTGAATACCTACTGCGGCACTTTAAAAGGTCTTAATATAAATTTGCTACTAAGAACCGAGTCTGAGCGCTCGTCTCAGTTTTTGTGTTAAGCGAGCAACCCGAATTCGTTCCCCTACGATACTAGGGGAAATATTAATTGCCATTTAATAGATAATTTATTGCATACTCGGAGCATCTGACACCTTGGAGGTTGAGGTTTAGCTCGAAGTATGTTGCGTTACAAATATATGACTTGGCATCGTGAAACAAAGTTCCTAGTGATGTTCTCGTAATAGAGTTCACTGTCAGTACTTGAACCATTGTTGTGTGGTTCATGTACTGGCAAATAAATAATCTGAAATCAACTATGTTGTTGTATTATTAGAACTATTTACTAACAATAGGCTATTAATTTATAATAATTATACTAATTATGGAATATGATCCTTGTTGGTCGAAATAAAGATATTATTATTATTTTGGGGTATTATTATAATTATTAAGGTTTTCTTTACTTCAACTTCTACAGACTCAGCCAGATGGTAGATTATGCTAGATTGTATTACATCGACACTTCTACAGGAGGTATGTTGTTAAGTAATAAATATTCCACCAAAAAGATAAATGTGAAAAGGGGGCCGAGTTCGGTATAAACGGCAATCGGGGTTGTTATTAAACTTGGCCCCGTTACATATTTACGATTGGTTTGATATCATTCGTTTTTAAAAATTTCTATCCTTATATTATAAATCATCTAAATAAATATGTGACCTTTTATTTTTTTTAAGTTTATGCTCTACTCTGCTCTACAACTAAAAACATAAATTGACTGACAAACTGCCAGGTGTCTAAAATAATAAGCTAATAATACTCCTACCTTGCCTTATGGATAATATACAAACCTGTCACAAGATTGGCGTGATGAAACTGACAGACAGCATCAGCTTCATACCAAGAAATACGGTCCCTGAAGTAGCGGTAGAATACCGGGAAGCCTTCTTCCGGAAGAACCCATGTATTGCTGATGTTTACCTACAATCAAAAACTTACTTATACTCGTATAAAAATGCGGTAAATAAATTAAATAGGAACTTTTGAAAATGAAGTCATTTTCTTTTATTTAAGAGACGTGTTTGTTGAGATAGATGATATATTTAAAAACACCGATGATGTATGTGTTAAAGATATAAATAAAAATAAATATTAAACCGAAAAAACCCATTAAATGAAACCCTATAAAAAACATTTTATATAGGGTTTCTTATAATATAGTTTTTATGAAGAAGTTGTTTGACCTACTTTTAAGTTATAAATTAAACTAATATAGCGATAAAGAAAAAAAATTAACTTTTATATTATGATTATTAAAAAAAAATTCATGTGTTTTGAAAACGGTAATACTGAAGAAAATGTAAAACGAGAAAAATTGTTAGTCTTTCACCGCCGATTGAAGTAAGACCTAACGGTAATGTTTTTAGTTTTACGTACGTACTCGTACTTTATGCAGTTTCTGAAGATCGTAAATGTTAACAGCAGTAAATTTTATTTTTAATCTAGTGTTAAAGGTTTCCCTTTTAAGTTATTTATGTAAATATAAATAAGAGGCAATACTAATATACACTACATACGGGGTTACCAAATCTTTTTTCTTTTGTATATGTAAAATATACAATACAATTTCAACTCTTTATTGCTTCGCTCTTAAAATTTTGTTCTTTCTGTTAATTTTTCCGTCGTTAATATTAACACTAGTAGCTATTGTGAATGCGTATTATTTGTAATTACATATTACATGATTAGTATTGTTATATGAAGTCATCATAATGTAGCTACCGTGGGCGCGTAGAAATAGAGCACCACCTTATCTCTTGTGTCGACTTAGCACTGCTGCCTTCTTTTATTATTGAACAAGCATACTGCGAAACGAAACATCCCAAGCAGAACGGAGGCAAGAGTACGAGCTGACTGAATAGTTATAGTTATGTATAATTATAATAAATTTTTTTTATTACAATTACAACCAAAATTTAAATTTATTTTCATTTGTGTAGATAAGAATTTATTTGTTTAAGCGTTTGTTTACATTTGTTTAAGCGTTTTACCTCCAGTATGCGTATAATGTGAATTAATTCACATCATACGCGTACTGTATGTATATATTTTTTGCGTTAATTAAGACAGTTTTTACGTAATGAGTACTCGTAATTTAAAGTAAAATTATCCACCGAGAAAATGTTCCTTAGTTCTTACTTGGAGAAAGACATGTTTGTCTTGCCTCCGAGCTTACTATTTCCAAGTTATGTTTTTGTTTCGTTTAATATCTTAGAAAAATGTTTGTTTTACGTTAAATTTATATATATTTACCTAAATTTTTAAATTATATACCTAAAAACCAATATTTGTGGGATGATATTTACGAGTACGTTGAGAGCATTTCGGTTTTGCTCAATTTTGACCAAAAATATTAAATATCCATTAATCCTGCAACTTTGATATTTTGCACCTTAAATAAAAATTAAGGATATCATACCTCATCGTATATTTTAAAAATGCAAAATAAATGGTGATCATTTGACTATAAGTCACAAAATTTTAAATTTATATCCAAAATTGCGTGCATAAGTTTAGAGAATTTCGATGTAAAGGTGATATAAAATTAGACGAGAAATACGCTAGCGTTGTTCACTAACGAACAGCACATACTCTAAAGAAACTTTACGAAAACTTCAAATTGCCACAGAGTACATTTCGACATTGTATTGTGGCTGAGGTTAATTTACCATGGATAAAATGTTTAGAAATTGGTTTCACTTATAAATTTTTCTTAATAATCGATAAGCTAATTTTCATTCGTTTTTACACATGAAAATGCAATAAACAGAAAGCTATCAAATAAACAAGAGACTTATAATTATATTATTTTTATAGTTCCCAATGCGAAAACATTGCTGAAAACCAATAAATTTTACAAACACATTGTAGTATGATACTCTAACTAGTAGTTAGCGACGCTGTAGCCAGATACCTATTTCAACTAGTTAGCCAGGTGCTTATCAGTTAGCGGTGTTGTAGCCAGACACTCTGAATAGTAGGCCAAACGCTCCTCAATTAGAGGCGTTATAGCCAGAGACTCTGACTAAAAGGCCAAGCACTTCTCAGTTAGCAGCGTTGTAACCAGATTCTCTGACGAGTAATCCAAGCGCTATACAGTTAGCTGCGTTGAAGCCAATTTCTCCGACTAGTAGGCCAAGCGGTCCTCAGTTAGCGGCGTTATAGACAAATTCTCTAAATAGTGGCCAAGCGCTCCTCAGTTAACGGAGTTATAGCCATATTTCTCTGACGACTAGGCCAAGCGCTCCTCAGTTAGTGTCGTTCTAGCCAAATTCTCTGACTAGTGGGCCAAGCCCTCCTCAATTAGGAGCGTTGTAGCCAAACACTGACTATTAAGCCTACCAGTCCGATACGCTGCATGTTTTAGATTGAAATACCAACTAGTTAAATAAATAAATAAATGGAGCAATTACCCCTTAGAGCAACGTATATTTTGCAACAACTTTACAATGTTACAGTATCTTTTGAATGCTAGCTTGATTCTATGAGTACATTTAATTTATTTTACTAAACCTGTTATATTTAATTAACAATTTATTTTACTTTGGATACATAGTATACGGTATTTTCTCAAAAAATTACAAAATATCACTTACTGAAAAAATTAAATATAATGAAACAAATAATTAAACCGATTACGTTAGTCTGACGTAATTCTCAAACTTAAGTATACGAGGACTGTGTTTGACTTTGTTTTAACAGACTAAAAACAGCCTCAATCGTTCATACATATAACGTGGAATTTAGTTTATTTATACGTGGTAGAGCCATGCTGCAGCTATATTATGGTTGTAGCACGAATGGGTCGGCTCGGCCGGGGAAGGACCACACTCTCACAGAATACTAGCGTAAAATAGCAGCTTAACCCTGCTGTGTTTCTTATGGTGAGTTTAGAGAACCGGAGACCCTTTTTACTTGAAACGAGGCATTCCATCTTAGTCCTCATGGGTGACAACGCATCTGCATTTTGATTCGTAATCGAAGATAGATGTAGATGTCTATGGGTCACAGCAACCACTTACTATCAGGTGGACTGTGTGCTCATTTGTCATCCTTATTCTATAAAAAAAGGTTAATATTAAACCATAAACATAACATTGGTTGTATAGTCTAAAATTTTTAATATCTAAAAGAAAAAAGGGAGAAAAGAAAGAAATTAATTTTATTTGTGTCCATGGCATGTGTAAGCAAAATAAAAGTTTCTACCTACTTACATATTGGTACATAATAATGCAATTAAACAATATACATAATAGAATATATTAAATAAAAAAAAACACCTGAAATAAGTCAGCATTGAGAATATTTTAACAACGGTTGTTTCTAACATTATCCGCGTATTTGCATTTGAAGTTACAATTCCAAAACAAATAATATGAGGTGTCGCGTCTGAATATTATTTCGTCAATATCTTTACACTGTATCTTCTTAATTCTTTAACTTTTCTTTTATTACAGTTAGGTAACAAACTAACAGTTCTCCTGATGACAAAGAGTTTCTACAGCCCATGGACCATGATTAAAGAAAACATGCTACATCATATGCGTTATCACCTCTAAGAATTAAAATAGGATATATAACTACATGTAATGACGGCTAAATTAAATTTGAAACATCAGTAGGTGCCCCTGCTCCATAAAGTGAAGTTACAGTAAATATTATAGTTCCACAGATGGGCATAGACTCATTTAATTTCTGAGTGGGTTTAGAGGCAAGGAAATTTCCGCTGCACTTTTCCCATGTGCGTTGGTTGACTTCATTTGTTTTCGATTTTTTTCTTAGACATTTTAAATATTTTTTTAGACATGCAGGTTTTCTCACGAAGTTTTCCTTTGCCGCCGCGCACGTGGTAAATAAGCACATAAAATTACAGCTAACAAATATTTTATAATTTTTTTTTGATTTCGCTAAAAAATTCTTGTTATGTTTTATGCGTAAAATATAGTCTAGATCATTCCTGGAATTGCTCTCTTTATTTTAGTAATTATTATATAATTAATTAGCTCGGAATGATAGACAGACAGACAAATATTTTTACTATTTTATTTTCATGTATAATGTGTATGATCTGTAAAACATGTAAGATAAAAAATACTTGCAATTACTTTTTAAGCTAAATAACGTTGTTCCTTTCATCTATTTTGCATTTTTCATTTTGTAGAATAAACATCACTTTAAGATCGTCAATATTACCTCGAACGCTCATCCCTAATGGTAAGATAAGAACAGCTTAAATAAATCGACGATTCAGTATTGAAAATGCCTTCTAAATAACCGTTTTATTCGTAATTCAAATTATTATAAATTAAAAATAATCGGGGTGAAGTGGTAAAAAACCAACCGCATCAGCAATGTACACATCCAATTCACGGATGAGACTAGGATCTGGCGTCCGATTGATGCCGTAAAACTCATCAAAAAATGCTGAGTCCAAATTTTTGATACTAGTGATGGACAGAAGCTGTATATCAATACGATGGTATCACCTCTGCGCTCACTATCCCTGAACGTACTGTGTACGCGCAAAAATTTTCTAGGATGCTTGCAAACTGACGCATTCTTGGAAAGGCCTACGTCTACGTCATATTGCAGTGGTTTTAAAAGCTATTACGTGATATGATGCTAAAGTTAATAATGAATTTACATTTTATTAGTAAAATACATTAATCTTTTAATTAAGGACTTAAATATGCAAAAGGTAATTCGTGACGTAACCATGTGGTGGTGGTATAAGATAACCCATCCACACCATTACGTCCCATGGGTGTCGTAAGACTGTCGTGGCTGAAAATTTCTAGAAAGCTCTTATGGCTTCCTCAACTTTGTATACCAGGCGTGAAATACCCAGACAATCTATAGACAGTGGCATCAAGAGTGCTAAACGCCTGGTATTGCGATCTTCAATCCCTCTGCCAAGCGTGACGATAAAATCCTTTCTACATCGGGAGAGGTCCATGTTCTACAATGTACATTAACGGGGTGATAATATATAGTTAATAAAAGCTTTACTCAAGATATTCACTGAAATTAACAAAGTGTGTGTTAGGACACGCGTAAGATAATTCTTGCAATATAGAGAGATATTATTCAATAATATTAAAAACTATAATTAAAAAAAACTAAAACTAGTAACATAATAATCATACAGTCCTACTACCTGCGATATCGTACCAAGAACGCTGGCTGCGTTTCCCCGCTGAATGGCTATACTTAGCCTTTGAGCGAGAAAAGGACCAGCCCTCTTATCACCAGCAGCAACGACTTATTACGCGTATAACTTAAGTTAAATCACTCACACAACTTATAACGCATTTTAATTTGCCTTTGAGAGATGATATTTGTCATAGTTAGCTTGGTAGGCTGCAGTAGGTCTGCAGTAGTAGTCCACTGCAGTGTTTTAACATTTCTATTTGTTATCAGGAAGTTGCTGCTGCTTACACTCTGTTTTATTTCTGTCTGACACCATGACAACTTCTACTGGGTATGAGTTTTGCTTTTATTACAATATTATAATTTTAATTTTAGTCGAAACTGTGCACGGAGCAGTAATTTTTTTATAGATTGCTATCCCACTTTGTAGGTTAAGCTGAAAAACTAATATTTGTAAAAATCACCATCTGCTTACTTAAAGAGAAAGCAGAGTGAAATTATTTGCATTTTTTTTTGTATATTAATTTATTGAACTTATGCTAAATTAAAAAAATATTTTAAATTGAACATAACGAGGGCAGGTTTATGGTAATCGTCAACTTGGCATTTCACTGTTGAACATAGGTCTCCCTCGTAGATTACCTTTTCCATGCTTGGTAAGCGAGTTGGCAGCTGCAGTTTTTAAATTTTTATTCAGCTGTTATCAAGAATATACTACTGCTGATCACCTGATTAAGTTTCCCTCTGTCGCCTCTTACGAATTCCGCGAGATGATATGGGGTAGTGGATATTCTTACACAGCCACCACACAGTTCTCGTAGGTTATGGTAATCACTTACCACCAAATTTACTATCAAAGCAAAACCACGTCTTTGAAGGCTCGGTAGCAGTGGCTATTCATGTGGGTACGGCACTGCGGGTCAATTCTCGCACTAAACATGTTTTCATCTGGCCTACAAATAATTATTTTGGGTACGGATCTTTATCCATGTGCGATTTAAGTATGAAAACCCCTACATAATACAGAAGAAAATTCTAGTGTGGTGATATCGTTTATCCAAAAAAAAAACTGAACATTGCAATTAGTAATTAGCCCACGTATCAGTGTGGTAACAGAGTAAATATTATGAAACCAATAACGCGTTAAAGTGCCCTTTAATACATTTCAATTTAAATTAGTTACAATCGAATCATCCATCTTGTAAACTACATTTAATATTACTAACTTAATTAAGATATTAAAGAGCTAATAACAATTTTCGCTAAATTGAACTGATAAACTTCAAGTGGTGTAAAGTGTTACTAATATTGAATATTCAAATTATCAATTTATTTAAGAAAATAAATTAACTATTTGAGTAATATTAGCTTTAATAAGTAACTACTTTAATTAAATTTCGAATGAGTGGTTATTTGTGGGATATAAAAAAATTATAATCAGTCAAAACGCGGCAATGATTTACAGAATTATTCAATTATTTCCTTCTTATCTATAAATATAAATAAAATAGAAATGAATGTTTGTAAGATCGAAATAATAATTTCGTACGTGGTAGAGCCATGCTGCAGCTATATTAGTAGTATAGTTGTAGCACGAATGGGTCGGCTCGACCGGGGAAGGACCACGCTCTCACAGAATACTAGCGTCAAATAGCAGCTTAACACTGCTGCGTTTCGCATGGTGAGTGTAGAGAACCGCAGACCCTTTTTACTGGAAAAGAGGCATTCTATCTTAGTCCTCACGGGTGACAACGTATTTGCATTTTGATTCGCAAACGAGGATAAATGTAGATGTCTATGGGCCACAGCAACCACTTATCATCAGGTGGACTGTGTGCTGGTTTGTCACCCTATTCTATAAAAAAAAACTGCCTTATATAGAGTAGAGGGGGTTATTCGAATGGGGTTAAGACATGAATAACCATTTTTAAATGTTTGTCTGTCTGTCTCTCTGTCCGCGCTAATCATAGGCATGGCTGAATCGATTGCGATGAAACTTTACTAACAGATAGATAGTAATGCCAGAAGTAATCTAGACTAATCTAGTAAGTGGCACAGATATAAGTCTCTGAGAGATGACTACATATTTGTGCCATTTGCTGTAGAGACTATCGGTCCGTGGGGTCTACGTGCGGTGCAGTTCCTAAAGGAACTCCATCCGCGGCTGGTCGTTGCTGCTGGTGATAAGAGGGCTGGTTCTTTTCTCGCTCAAAGGCTAAGTATAGTCATTCAGCGGGGAAACGCAGCCAGCGTTCTTGGCACGATACCGCGGGGAGTAGGACTATATGATAAATAAGTTTCTAGTTTTAGTTTCTTTTTATTATTATATTTTCTAATATTGTATACCATCTAGACTATATTTTATACCAAAAGAATTGGAATTTAAAAAAAAATATTACTAGATTAAATGGTGTTTCATTAACTTAGATCTAAATAACGTCACATTAATACTTTATAATAATAATTCGTATATCTAAGAATGCTTCTGCTTTTATACGTGTAAGTGATCTCATTTGTATTCATTTTCTTTATAACTTAACGTGCAATACTGAATCTTACTGGAGTTACGACTTAAAAAACGACTGTAACTTTGAAAAAATATGCTAATAGCGAAGTTACGTTTTATGTAACAAAAGCTGCCATTGCCATACCGCGGTAAAATCTTTTACTTTATATATTTTTTATATTGCACTGGAACAATATTTTATTAAAAATAAATATATATAATACTTCATTACTAAATTAAAAATAAAACAAGAAAGATACAGTATGTGGATAATATCTTATTATACATTTTTTTTTAATTTTCTAAGTCTCAACTGATCCAAATATTATGTCAAAATAAAAATTAAGGCTGAGTAAACAAAAATATCTCTTACCGCACGTGAATGGGCTGTGGCAAAAAATGCCAGTAATATCAGGTAATGCATCACGTAGGCACGTAACGCTTTGCGTAGCCAATCAAAGCTACAAGTACTGGCCTCCGTAGCGCTCGGCCGTCGTCGCGTGACTGCCGCAAGCTACGAGCCTACGAGGCGCCTCGCGTGCCGCGCCATCGCCTCGGCCTCGCCACTCGGACCTTCGTTCATTATGTAAACAAAATATTTGACAATAACATCGAGGGGAATAGGGACAGGGCTTCTTTTTATTCACGCTAAAGTTACTCCTTCACTGGAGTAGGGTCAGGGTCATTGTGTACCGCTTGAATTTTTATAATACATAAAATAATTTATGTAGAAATTATAAGTTATTTTTTATAGGATAAGGGTGACAAACGAGCACACAGTCCACCTGATGGTAAATGGTTGTTGCGGCCCATAGACATCTATATTTTTCTCGATTACGAATCAAAATGCTGATGCGTTGTCAACCGTGAGGACTAAGATGTAATGCCTCGTTTCCAGTAAAAAGGGTCTCCGTTTCTCTACACTCACTATACGAAACAGCAGCGTTAAGGTGATATTTTACGTTGGTATTCTGTGAGAGTGTGGTTCTTCCCCGGTCGAGCCGACCCATTCGTGCTACAACTATACTACTAATATACTGCAGCATGGCTTTACCACGTAAAAAGTTATTCCATCAATCTCTCCACTAGAGATTTTTACTTTCGAACTTGTTGTGTAATAATAAATATAAAGGTGTTCCGTACCGTATACAAACGGTGTGTTTATGGTTAAGTTGTGGTTCCATTTTTGTAATGCTAGATTGCGCTCTCTTATGTTTTGTTATCTATGTCCTATATTATTTATATTCAGTTATAAAAGGTAACTATTAACAAATGAAACAGTTTATGAAAAGGTTAGTAATATCCGATTTTCTTTTCACTTTTGAAAAAAAAAATGCACAGTGGATCTTTTTAAGCACAATGAACACACGTCAAATGTGAAACAACGGAAAATTGAAGCGCCGCGTATTTCATTCCCCCGTTGAAAGAACCCCAATGACAAGAAAATACTTTCGCTATACCGTACATAAATGACACTCGCGTTCATCACGTATTCACACTTTATAGTGTCACGTCGACTATAACAAAGCCAAGGGAGCCAACCTCCATTTAATACGAGTCGCTGACACAAAAACCTTGACCTTTACTTATGAGTCGATATAATTCATGACCCATTTTGTGAGATAATATCATATGAAAGTAAAACGGTCTATATATGTCCCACAGCTAGGCACAGGCCTCCTATTCCCTGAAGGGATTTAGGACAAAAAATTCGCCGCACCACTCCCGCTTGTTAGTAGATTTCACACCTTCCGGTCCACCTGACTGCAGTCAATGGATACCTGCAGCCAACTTTAAACAAGAAAGCTGCAGAGCGCTTTACAGCCTGTAATTATATTGTCTCTTTTTTTCCCAACAGACTGGAACCCTGCATTGCAAGCAATACTATTTGGCAGAAAAAATATCTAAGAGTGGGATGCCTACTCAAACGGATTCATGGACAGAAATGAGTTCTGCCACCTAGAACTTAAAACTGCAATTAACAATTTCATTGGTGCTGGCGGGGATGTGGTTAAGCTGCCACGGCAGTATATCATGTTTATATTTTCACCTTTTCAAAACTGATCGAAATCTTTTTTCTTTTATATATAAAAATGATCAGTAATATATTGATCGTCAGTTTGAATTTTCCCAGTCTATTTATTCAAATGCAAAGGTTTTCCCCACATTTATTCCATTTTCCTTTCGTGTTCGTAACATTAATTCTGAATAAATTTTAAGCTTTATAGACATGGATTTGAGACGTGGTCCTTTACCACTGGCCGTACGAGAAAGCTCAAGTTCACTCAATGAACGTTCAGCTACTGAGAGGGCTATGTTCAGAGGTTCTCTGAATCACAGAATTCGAAATAAGGATATCCTCAGTAAATAATGTGTCATAATCAGACGGCCAGTAAGCTCGAAGAACTGAGAACCGATGGGGAAGAAAGATTCTTAAGTGACAGCCTCGTATTGATAAGGGTAGGGTGGCCCTCTGCTAAATGGAGTGACATTCTGGTAAGACATCATCATTGCAGCCATCACAAGCTCACTGCTGAACACAGGCCTCCCCCAAGGAATGCCACAAATCACGGTCCTGAGCCACCTCCATCCATCGACTTCCTGCATGTCTTATTAGGTCGTCACTCCATCTAGTGGGGGAATGCCCTACATTTCGTTCGTCGGTACGAGGCCGCCACTCGAGAACCTTTTTTCCTTTTTACTAGTAAGACATACAGGAAGTCAATGAATGCAATTGGCTCAGGCTCATTTTTTTATAGAATAGACTAGAATAGAATAATTTTTTATTCAATATTGATTACAAGTAATTCTTAGTGAAAGTCATTTTTTACTTTACCACTGGTTCGAAAAATATCCTCTGTCCTGAGAAGAACCAGCAAGAACCCAGCGGGACATTTTTAAATAAATTTTACTATATAAGTGATTACAAACTATTTACAAAATTTATTTTATGAACAGCTTGGAAGCGACCACCTCATTCCCAGGGGGTTATTATCATCCATGTATTCATTTATATTATAATAACCCTTTTTATACAGTTTTTGTTTAAGAAAATATTTAAACTTGGTAATAGAGCGACGTTGTATATTTTCTGGGGCTTTATTGTAATAGCATATACATTGCCTCAAGAACGAATTACTGACTCTGTGGAGTTGATAAACTGGTATCACCAGCTTGTGTTAGTTATTAGTGTTTACAGAGTGTATATTACTTTTTTTTACTAAAACTTCTTTTGTTGTGGTGAACATACATTAAATTTTCGTAAATATACTGAGAGGCCAAAGTTAATGTATTTATTTCTTTAAATTTTTCTCTAAGAATCTCTCTTGGGTTAAGATTATAAATAGCTTTTATGGACCTCTTCTGCAAAACAAAAATAGTTTTTGAACCAGCCGCATTTCCCCATAGCAAAATCCCATAAGACATATAGCATTCCTTGGGAGAGGCCTATGCTCAGCGGGTGGACTTGTGAAGGGATGTAATGATGATAATGTTTAAATACAAACCTTACTCCTATCGTCCGACAAGTCTTAGTTTCCCGATCGATAAGGGTAATCAAATGTGATTGTATTAGATCTTGAGAAGACAGCTAACGAGCGCTGAGTAATTGATTTAGCTAACTTTATCAGTCACTGCGAATTGCCGGCAATCAATGCATTTAAATGGCTCTTAAAAGCTTTTAAGGTCACAAGCTTTATCTCAAATACTATAATTTTAGGAAAAGAGTTTATTTAATGATAAAATTGAAGTGAAACACGAAAATACAGTCCACCTTATGGTAAGTGGCTACTGCGGCATACGAACACCTACAAAGAACTTCCAAAGAAGAAGGCTACATACAGATGCGTTATCACCTCTGAGGACTAAGATAAAATGCCTCACTGCCTGTAACTATGCAGGCTCTCTTTATCCTACAGACCAGAAGTACATGCATTGCTACTAGCGGCAAAAATATGTAAGAAGGTGACACATGTATTTTTTTTTTTGAATTCTCGACCTATGTTATTGCCGTTATACTCGTATATTGTGTTAATGTAAATAAACATTTTCTTTTTTTACAGTATTTCCTTGTTATATAAAAATATTTGAAAAATATTTCAAATTAAAAGCTTTATCATGAAAATAAAAATATTTCCATTTAATCGACAATTCGAATTTCAAACCGCCTGTATCTAGATGGGCGCATTTTATAACCAATAAAAAAACTAGATACGCATTCCCATGCAAACGTTCTCTAAAAACTGTCGCAAATTGTTTTGACGTAATTCTAGTTGAAATAAATATACATTAATGTAAATGCAACCTTAAATGCATTGCCTAAAGTTGTATTCACAAAGCTACCTACAAGTTAAAAGCGCACCCAAATGTTCGAGTGGGCGCTCATTCGGTAAGGACATTTTTGTCACTGATTGTGTATCTAGTTTTTTATTAGTGATCATTAGATATTAGCCCTTCAAAGTCGACTGCTAAATATAGGCCTCTACGTAGAATGCCTCATAAGAGGGATAGTTGCTACTATTGTCTTTTACGGAGGATATTTGATAGTTGATATTCTTACACCACCACTATACGGTTAACAATGACGGTGAAACTTTTAAATCATCTACGACAGTCACCGGGATGCAGTGGCGTAGCAGGGCGGGGATGGGGGAACTATGACCCCGGGCGACAGATTTTAGGGGGCGACATTTTGGAAATGAAAGTCAATTACCGCCTTATATTTTTCAAAGATCTCAAAAAATCTGAAATTAACTATTATTGAAAACTTTTACTTAAAATATTATGGACCCCTCCCCTGAATGTTCTGAAAATCGATGTAATCTACACACAAGCGCTTGCCAAGATTTGACAAGTTAAAAAAAAATATTTTTTTGAATAATAAGCAAATACTAAAGAACTTAGTAAATACTTTAACCAATTTAAAGTTTTATCCTACTTCAAAAATCGGGGAAGGGTGCAAGGAGAGGCATTTTTGGCTCTAACGGCACCCTGGCTCATTTTAAGTGTTTCTTTTCGTTAATTTTGACACAAATTGAAAACTCGTATTAATATTAATAAAACTGTTGATATTTAACTACTCAGAAAATATTATAAAAAATACTGAACCTCAATATAACACTTATATTAAAAGGAAACATAAAAAAGATCACAACAAACTTCTCATGTAAATACTCGTATATCGAAGAGAAAACTATGTTATTTTCTATAATAGCCACAGTCAACACGCTCGTCACTGCGTGTTGGGAATCTCAAAACCGAGGCAATTTTGCGAAGTCAAACATGCTTCACGCGTCAAGAAAATCGAATTCGGGTCCTTTTACATTTTCACTAGGCAATTACGTTGCCAGAGAAATGCCGCGTCATCGTTTCTCCCAATTTCGTATGTGTTCTGTTCTCCAAATAAATATCTACTTTAGATATTCT